TCTTTTTTTTTTCTTTTTTTTTGGTTTTGTTTGCTAGCCGCCACCTCCTCCTTCCCCTTTAAAAGGGAGGAAACTAGGGTTTTCTTTGTTAAATTTGGGTTTTGATGGGCTGGTTTATAAAAGTGGGTTGAAACTTGAATTAAATTGTTAATGGGCTCAATATTGGGCTAGATTTATGAGTTTATTTTAATAAATTTCATCCTCAACTTTTTAATTTTTTCAATTGAGTCCTTTTCTTGTTTTTTTTTTTCTTCAACTTCTTCACAAAATTTTTTTATAATGATAAATCCGAAACGGTACGTGAAAAATTTCGATATCCGGTACGTACCGTTCTAGTAATAAAATCAATACGCACGTCGGTACGGTATTGAGTCCTTTGAAAAAGAGACCAAATAAGAGAAATACATAAAGGGAGAGTGAGTGATGAGAGAGAGATAGAAAGGAGGGAAGGCTTAAATTTTTTAATTTTAGATTTAGATTTGAAGGATGTTTATGAATTCTCTTAGAGTAGAGGAATGTCAAAGACTCTTTTTTTATTATTTTTATTTTTTTGAAGTTTAGGGATATTTAGTGGCATTAAGCGATTTAAAAATGCTTAGATTTATTTTCTTAGGTGTAGTTTGGTGGCTTGGGGTATAAATGTATAGACTTTCTTGAGTTGTGAATTCGAATTAATTGTTTCATAACATAATTAAGTTGTTTAGGGTTTTGTGGACTGGGGGTTTCTTTAGATTTTTATTTTATGATGTTGACATTCTCTTTTACAAGCGAAGGTGAGGCTGGATGAAGACTTTCTTATGATCTGTTTACCCTCTATAGTCTTTTGTGAAATTTGCATACGAATTGTTTTCCAAAGAATGTGGTATCTCATTTTTTTATTAAAAAAATGAGGATATGCTTTCAAAATCACCAAAAAAGTGTTGTTGTGCAAAGCTTCCTAAATACTTGGTAGTAAAGCTGTAAATGAGCCAAGTAGCTTTGGTTTGAAACATTTTTGAATTTGAGCTAGCTTGGTGTAAGCTACTTGAGTTCACAGTTAAATTTAATAAAAAAATTTATTTTTCTCAAAGCTCATGATCCTTTTGAACTTGATTGAGCTTGCCTTGAGTTCATTACCATGGCATGGGTGTCAAGCTAGAGTGCTAAGCTATTCAACCTTACTCATTTACATTTTTATACTTTATTTTATGCACAAGTGTTAATTATATAATAGAGACTAACTCTTTCCTCTTCTTAATCCTTTCCCACTTGTGTCAAGTTTTTAAACTTGGAATCCTCAATTTTTAACCTTAAAAGTCAATTCCATTACATTTATCCTACATGATAGTAATAGCACTCTTACTTCATCTACCTTTTCTTATCTAATAACATAATTGTATGTTTTCTAATTAAAAAAATTAGCTTAATCCCTATTTAATCCCCAACTTATAGATTTTAAGATTATTAGCCTCTTCATTAACCTCTCAACAACATGATTTGGGAAAATTCATCCTTAATTGACAAATTTAGGATATGCTACTCACTCAAGATGTCATGCCTATCCCATCCAACAACACATTTGTGTTCTCTTTTTTACCTTGTGTATCACAATGGTAATGATAGAGTGGGGCCCACAGTGGCGATGTGCAGAAACCACGCAGTTGAAAAACACGTCTCAAATCTATCAAATATGGGTGAATTTCCTAAATTGTGATGTTGAGGGTTAATAATCTTAAATTTTTAGATGAGGGGCCAATAACCTTAAAGTTAATAAGTTAGGGGGCTTAAATAGGGATTTACGCCGACGAAGTTGACTTAGAAATATAAGTTTTAGTCAAGTTTTATTCTCACAATTCACAACTCTCCGCCACTTATTCTAGATTCTTCTCATCTCTTCTCAGACTCTCTACCTCCGGCGATGGCTTCCAATCTTGAAATCAAGGCCAAGGAGGCGTTCATCGACGATCACTTTGAGCTCGCCGTGGATCTCTACTCTCAGGCCATCAGTGTCAACCCTAAAAACGCCGAGCTCTTTGCTGACCGCGCTCAGGCCAGTATCAAGCTCGGAAATTTTACTGGTAACTGCTTCGTTCTCATTCTTTTGATCTGTTCTCGTTCGTCTTACCGGCAAAACGGAAGGGATTTTCATACTGTTCCGTTGCTTCCTCTTTAGTAATTAGTTTTCTTCTGGTTGGATAGTGAAAAGATCATGTCTTTTCGATTTAAGTTGTTTTAGTGGTGATTTTTTAGTGCTATAGAACAGTTTGGAAGTTATAGTGAGTAAATTCTGTTATTTTATCGCGCAGAGGCTGTGGCTGATGCTAGCAGAGCGATCGAGTTGGATTCGTCTATGTCCAAAGCATACTTGAGGAAAGGGTGAGTACATTAACAAAGGGAAAAACTTTTGGCCTTTAAGAGTTCATGATCATTGTCTTTATTATTGCATACAAATGCATGCTCTAGTTAACTAGTTTCGGGTGATTATGCAGAATTAATCCAATCGCTTTTGTTGTGTCCAATTATAGATACTACTTTCAGTATTACTAGGTATCCAATTTCTGTTGGATATCTAATGTTATCTACTTATAGAGCTATCTTGCGCAATTATCAATAAATTTCTTTGAGATCCTTGGATTTTGTTGCAGTTGGGAAATTTTTGTTTTCTTTTCGTGTTGGTGAATATTAGTGCACAGAGTTTAAACTGATGTGATGATGTCTATAGCTTATCATACCACGTCAATTGTCAACCTTTTTTTCCTCAGAGCCACTGTTTCCCTATAATTTTCTTTGTTATGTAATTTTTAGGGGTTTTTGCAAATTTTTTTTTAAATGTTTTTGTGAGATTTGTTCTGGTGAGGTCAATTGGTCCCACTGGATGCAAAGTACTTTGGCACTCTGCTGAATTTCTTTTTCATTCAATACGATTCAGATAAATACAAAATCTGAATAATTCAACAATTTAAAACTCTCATTCTTCACTTTTTAATGATTATGTACAGCATGGCATGCATGAAACTTGAGGAGTATCAAACTGCTAAGGCAGCTTTGGAAAGTGGTGCTTCTTTGGCTCCAGGAGATGCAAGATTTACCAATTTGATCAAAGAATGTGATGAACATATTGCAGGTAATAGAGATTGATTATCATGTTAAATGGATTTAGTTGACTAATTTTTCTGATCTTTATTCTTTTTTTTTTTTTAGAAATTAGATGCTTTAAATGTTATGAAATGAACTATGGAAGACTGGACAAAGTATATGAAAATTTCTGATTGTAGAAAATACCTTTGTGAAACCTCTGGATGATCTCTCTTTTGAACTTATTATGAACTTTGAATGTTTGTTAGAGGAAGCTGGTGAATTACCAAAGCCACCATTGGAAAAGGTCCCAGAAAATGTATCTGGAAAAGATGTTGAGCTAGGGGATGAACATTCTAATCAGCTGACGTTTGCTGCACCTTCCAAACCAAAGTACAGGTTTGTAGCTATGGTTCTGTATGAAATTTTATTTACATTCATGATGATTTCAATAGCATGGTTTTGACATCTTTGCAAATGTGATGTTCTTTTGGTCTGTTTGTAATTTGTTAATCTGGTTATGAAAACTTCCACAGGCATGAATTTTATCAAAAACCTGAGGAAGTAGTGGTGACCATTTTTGCGAAGAAAATACCACATGACAATGTTACAGTGGACTTTGGTGAACAAATAGTATGATGCACATTGGTTTTTTCTTCTCTTTTTTGTTTAGTCTTATGGTTATACATAGCTTTGAGTAACTGGTTACAAATAGATGGACTGCTGAAATGTTAATGTTGTTTATTGTTGTGTAGCTAAGTGTTACAATTGACGTACCTGGTGAAGATGCATATCATTTTCAGCCTCGCTTATATGGAAAGGTATTGCCTGAAGTTTACTTGGTCAAGAATTTCTTTATTAATAAGACAAGTTTTTCATTGGCAATTTTAGTCAATAGAGAAAATGGTAATTCTTCAACCTTGTCACCCATTGGGGTTTGAGATTTATATGTGAACTAGGAAGTAGTAAATTTATTTTTCTGAATTGTATTGCTTTTGATTAATAGGTTTATTGTTAAAAAATTGTGTGTTTAACTTACCCTTATATATGGAATGCTAATTCTATCACTTGCTGTTTGGTCATGTGCAAACAGATAATACCTGCAAAATGCAGGTATGATGTCTTGTCCACCAAAATTGAAATTCGTCTAGCAAAAGCTGAACCAATTCACTGGACATCTCTTGAGTTCAGCAAGGAAAATGCAGTTGCACAAAGGGTTATTGTACCTTCTGGTATGTTGAACTTCTTACACTTTGGTTTCTGGATTGGAGTGGAAATGCTGTGCTAGTTTTTACTTGTGTTACCTTTTCTAATTTCACAGTCTATGCCTAGTTTCCTCTGTGTGTGTGTGTGCAAGCATCTAGATTTGTGTACCTGCACATAATATATGCAGTTCATCATTTGAATTTCTTAACAGTTGGTCTTGTTCATCTACTTGGGTTAAATGGCCCCCTTTAGGGCAGCAAAACTAAGTAAAAATTTGTGCTGGACTGTCTATGTTATTGCTTGAGTGTTTAACTTTGTTGAATCATTTTGAACATGTGAGACATTCACACTTTTTTTGTTGTGGTATTTTTTGTTTTGTAGCAACTGCAAATGAAAGACCTACTTACCCATCCTCAAAACCAAAAGGGGTAGATTGGGACAAACTTGAAGCTGAAGTGAAGAAGGAGGTCTGTGCTGAAACCTAGTTATTTTTAATCCCATAGATATCAATTGGGTTTTTCTAAGGGCACTGATTAGAAAAGGCCATATCAATTTCATTAGTATTTCTGATATAAGTGCTAAAGTTATTAAATTATGGTTTTTAAACTTTGCATGACTCTTTTGGTGGTCTGACTTTCAGGAGAAAGATGAAAAGCTGGATGGTGATGCTGCTTTGAACAAATTCTTCCGGGACATATATAAGGATGCTGATGAAGACATGAGAAGAGCCATGCAAAAATCTTTTGTGAGACTCTGACCCAGAATAAAGTGTCAAAAGTAATTTGTTATTGTATGTACAGTATCCTAATATATTTTGGTGTATGATGTAGGTGGAATCAAATGGGACAGTGTTGTCTACAAACTGGAAAGAAGTTGGCTCAAAGAAAGTGGAGGGAAGTCCCCCTGATGGTATGGAAGTGAAGAAATGGGAGATTTGAATTGCTTCTCCCATTCATAATATACTAACATGGAATGTGATATTGCTCTGTGAATGCTATTCTCTCTTCTTCAAACCCAAACTCATTTCGTCCGTGAACTGTGAAGGCTTTACTCTGCTTTGAGTCTCTGACTCTACATTTTAACTGGTTTCTGGTACATGGGTTTTCCTCTATTTTTTTTTTTTTTTTTTCAATTTTGGCACCAAGTGCAGTTACTGTTATTCCTATATAAAACTCTAATTTCTGATTTATTTATGTGACTATTTTCATCTTCATCTTCATCCTCCCAATTCAACCCCTATTGTAATTGATAGAGCTTCAATGAGTTATTGGTACTTTCAGATATGCATCTGCATGATATGGTGTCATATGCTCAAGAAATTGATGCATGTATGGCACAAAGAACTTTTTTTTTCTGGGTTTAGTGGCTTAGGTCTCCCTGGACAAGCTTATGCATACTTTGAAACTAATTTCTTTTTAATCCGGTTAAAGGCAAGTTAATTTTCACCGAGACAAAGAAATTTATGAAAAATTACTGCATCATTAGTCTCTTCAAAAAATTGAATTTGATTAACAAAGTGGGGAGTAACTTTTTTATCAATTTAGCCACAATTACATGGGTTTATGGCACAAGGAACTGATTGCATCATCAAGAGTTATTATATAGCAAATGGGATTAAGCAACGCGCATGCTGCTACTTTTATATTCCAGCGTGGCGATCGTTCGCCTCATTGTGTATAAAATGGTGAAAAGAACAAACTCGGATATCTACATTGGGTGTCTGAATTTGCTTCCAAGGATTCTACATCTCGTTACAGGTCTTCCCCACTTGCTGTATAACCTCTGCTGGCACAACACAATATGTAGCACTTGTATATGGTCTAAGATCTCTCTTCTCATGTCTGGTATGGAATTAAAGTCTATTCTATGTATCTATAATGCTTGTCGTGGCAGCAGAAAGCAACAAGCGGCAATTGGAGTTGGCTAATTACAATGGTAAAAAGAAAGATAAAAAAAGGGGTGTTTTCCTTTTAAAAAAGAGACGTATAACCCGTCCTGTATTTTATAGTTTTCTCTCCATTAATAGTAAAATTTATAATTCACATAATGTGAAAAATAGTGTTTATTTTTCTATAGATTTTTTTTTTTTTGAATAATTGATCATAGCAAAGGTCGAACCCACGCTAAGGGAGGGGATGCACCTTTCATTGTGGCAGTTGCCACTAGGCCCAAAGGTCAGGTGCTTTTCTATAGATTTTTTTTTTTTGGTGTAAATTATAGATTTTGATAACATTTCAAAATGCATTGTTTAATTTAAATTATATTAAATTATATAATATTAATCATTATACAGAATTTGAGAATTCGTAAATAAAATAATAATAACTCCTTTTAATAAGAATTCTCATCAACTTGGGTTCGAGTCTCTCACTCCCCTTTTCTCCAAATATAATCCTATTCAAAAGAAAAAAAATCATTAGATGGAGTTAAATCATTAATATTGAGGTTCTCTTTACGTCTAAAAAATAGTAGAAATGAATGTTCAAAAAAAAAAAAAAAAACCAAAGAAGTAGAAATGAAGGTACCCAACGACATGACGTCATGTCGTTTAATTAGATCTAAAATAACTGCTTTCTCTTCTAGAAATCTGGTTCTTCCTCCACGGACCAGACGGAGTGAAAAATAATGCAGTTCTTTGGTGGATCGGAGATCAGTCCGTCGCCGCCTGCTCCGACGGCGACTGGCAACAACGCGCACATGATGTACGTTTTCAACAGGAATGGTGTCTGCTTGCTCTACCGGGAATGGAATCGACCTCTACACACTCTCAACCCCCAGCAAGACCACAAGCTCATGTTCGGTCTCCTCTTCTCTCTCAAGTCCCTAACAGCCAAAATGGATCCCACCAGGTTTCGAGATTCATCTTATTTCCATCTCTAATTTCATTTCCCTGATTTGTTTTCCCAGTTTTCACCGATCGGATCTAATTTGTGCAGTGCTGAGAAAGGAAATCTAGGAGTACCACAGCTACCAGGACAAGGATGTTCATTTCACAGCTTCCGTACTAATACCTACAAGCTTAGTTTCATGGAAAGTCCCTCTGGGATTAAGGTCAGTTTACGTGCTTGTTCTGTTTTTGCCTACAGAAAATTTCAATCTTTTTTTTTTTTGTTCTTTCTTTCTTATTTGCATTAGATTTTAAGGGAGAGAACTTTAGATTGGAGATTCTATTCTATAAAGGTAATTAGTGATTCTTACTGATCGATCCTAATTCTACAATTCTGAAAGACTTTTGTTATATATATATATTTTTCCGGTATGAAGCTTTTTCTTAGAAAAACATTTAGAAGTGAAGTTGAATTGAATTTCATTTGGGTTGAGTTATTTGACGAAAATGTTTGAATTGAGTTTTCATTTAAATAGTTAAATTCTTAACCTGCTCTAACTGTTTTTTCCCTTATAAATTTAAATGATATATCACATTGAAAAAAATAAAACCATATTGATATATAAAATTGAATTAACTCTAAATCCTTATACTAAAGGTTTTGCATAAAAGTGGCGCTAGAAGCCTGTTTAGTTCTTCTGTGTGGCTTCATTCCGCTAAGCAGTCTATCCCCTATTTCTCTATTAAGTAAATAGGAAAGTTGCTGTGTGAAATTATCTATATAATCAATTACTCTGACATGGAGAATTTTACTAGAAATGCATCATGTACGCTCTCAATGATTTGATAGAGCTATTACTAGAGCTTCAGAAGGATCGTGGTGTGTACTGGCTGACATTATGTTCATAAAATTTTGGTTATCTGTTTATTTGCTTTTAGTCATTTTTATAGGAATTCACTCTAAAATGCTGATTATGACTGGATTGTATTACTCTTGTGTAGATCATTTTGGTCACGCATCCTAGAACTGGTGATCTTCGCGAATCACTGAAGTATATTTATAACCTGTATGTTGAATATGTTGTTAAGAACCCACTCTATGCTCCAGGAACTCCAATCAGGTGACTAGTTAATGCTTCTCTTTTTATATCTTCATGTAAAGTAATATGATCATCAGTCGCAGGATATGATACATACATACTCAGTTGTCACTGCTAAATGGTGCTCTTACCTGTTGTATTCTTTTAAATAAGTTTTTTTTTATAGGGCTGCATTTTGATGGCACTACATACAGATGTTGATAAAATCTTGTCTTAAAAAGTGTTTGTATGACGGGGTTTACTGAAATCACCTGATACTTCATGGTATTTGTTGTTTTCTTTCTTTTCTAACCTAGTAAGGACCAGGAGTAGGAAACAACAGCTGAGGATTCCCCATGGAGAATTTGATTTATAACAGTAATGGTAAGAGAATGAAATGAAAATTGTTTGATGACTATACTAAACCTAAGGGTATAATGTACCATGAAAAATGGATCATGTGATAGCCACAAGAAGTTCTCAAAACCAACCCAACTGGCATTTTTTTTTTTTTTTATGATGTGGTGCTAACATAACAGAACTGGGATGTTGTCTGATACGTAAATGCATTATTCAGAAAACCCACCCCACCATCATTAGAGCCTGTCTCAAGAGACTTTCTTTACAGTTTACAGACTTCTTGACACATCCCTTTATGTTTCTCTAATACTTGATAACAACAAAATTACTTATTAGCTAGCTTTGTAGAGAGGTGTACATGGGGAATTAAATACTCTCCTGCTGATTATTTGATGAGGTTGCCTTGTTGGACATTGTTGTGGTGTATCTCTTATTCCCATTTAATCCGCACCTGTTACATACTGTTATTGCATATGGTTTCTGGCATGCTTCTTTGGCACTTGAAATATAAGCTGTACCAGAAAACATCACTTCAAGTTATCATCCCTTATTTAACACATGATATGTTATTTTTAGTTCTATATTGATTTCCCCCTGTATGACCCTTGTTTGTGCTGTGCTCTATGTAGGTGTGAGTTATTCAATACAACTCTTGATCAATATGTGAGGAGCATTGCCTAGTATCCGGTAGTCTAATGCTGGCCATCTTTATCTTGCTGCTGCTGGCCTTAGGAGAAGTGCCTCTTAACTCTCGTTGATGAGGATTGGGTGTGGGTTACTGTGTGACAGTTGTCATATATAACTGGACGAGTGCACTAGAAATGATTGGTTCATAGAAAAGGGTCAGTGAAATACAGGCTTGATGCTTTCTTCATTTTTTAGATTGTTTTGGTGAGAATTGACTTTGTAGTCATTGAGTGTGGTGAATCTTATCCTCAAGGTGATATTTAAATAAAAAAAAAAAATTCTCTTGTTCGGTCTTATATCCCTACCCAAGAAGGGTGAATTGGGTCTTGCAACTGTTCCAAGTGCTCTTGTGGTATTTATATTTTACCAAATTCTATCCAAATTTGCATCTTTTAATGCAATGCACTAAGCAATTTAAGGGAAAGAGAAATCGAAGCCAGCGTTGTATGGTGGTTTAGTACTATTCCTTTGCTTACACTCACTTTCTAAGTTTCTGCGATTAAAATTTCCATCCACGAACTTTGAGGAGTTTTCTTCTGCTCCACTCACAGGAGAAACCATTTACAACCTAATCTGGCATGTTAGTCAGCCTTTCACAAGTGAAGTTCACGAACTCAGCTACGGTTAAAACCACTCCTAAATTTGTTAAAGCCGCAGGAATTGTTAAATTTTTATCTTAACTTAATAATTAAAAATAGGTGATAAGTAGTAAAAGAGTTGATATTTATTATTTAATATATTAAAATTAATTTATAAATAGATCTAAATATCATAATTAATTAATTTATAAATTAATAAAATCATAATTAAAACATGAGGTGTTAATAAAATAGCTTGTGACCATTGCCATGGCCCACAAACTCACTTCTCTAAGAAATAAACGCTGATTTAAGGTGAATATAAAATCTTTTGTATCCTAACAAAGAAAAATAATTGGGAGATGGCTTTTTATATAATTTTTTT